TGTATGACATTGATATGTTGAATCATGTGAAATAGCTTAAGTATGATTTTCCTCTGACATGACATGTTAGTAATCTTATAAGTGAAACCTATTATGAAACATATTGTCAGGATTTCTTGGATGAAACATTGATTGATGTGTAATAATATGATATTATTTGCGCGCGTGAAGTTGGATTATAGAAATGATGAATAAATTGATGTGAAATACATATGGACTTGCAGTTCCATAAATTTATACAGGGTCATAAACCCTCAAAAATAATATGAAGATATCTACAAGTCATAATACTAATGTGATTTCACAATGTCATGACTCATGAGTATAAAGGCTGATCTAATTGGGCAAGAGCAGGAACAAACAAGAGTTATATAATACTAATTTACTTAACTTGATACATGACATTGTCAAAAGGATTTATGGTTTAAAATGCATAAAGGGATTTTAAAGGTTGTTGAATAAATTTCAAACCCCCGTATGCAAGGATTAAAGGGAGATAATATTTATTTCATTATTATATGTAATCCTTGCACATAAATTATATGATATCAATGATAGTCAGTCATGTATATATTAGCTTTAATATCAATGTCAATAATTTATTTAATATAAGCTACCACATAATATCACATATTTACAATGACACCATCCTGAAGATGGATATGAATAAGTGTCATTGACTATATGTCAGCTGTAAATGCTCCAATTAAAATTAATGTCCCAGAAGGACAACATCGGTTACTAATGAACTTAAAGCACGCCTGAAGCGTAGTAGTCCAATAGATTTAAAATATAATAACCTTCGAAAAAAGGAAGGGAGCAACTATGGATAATGACAAGTATGAGGAAGTGATAAATCCCATTACTAGGAAAAATCACTTATAGTAAAATTTATATATTCCATGATTATATGAAAGACTCCAGAAGAGTATATATCAAGATTATAGTCAAAGCTCTAGCAGAGTATGAGTAATTACTTGATAAAGTATTAGTTGATTGTCTTGCCAAATTGTCTTGCCAATTATATAAAGTTACACATGTTGGTGTTCTAATATCACATCATATCCATGGCCATGCATAAAGTAAGCTTAATAAAGTGATCACTAGTGTTGGAAAACTGACCAAACTTAAAATTTAGAGAAGTGATTGGATGTGATAATTAAATTAGGTCATCCGGGTTTAATAATTACCCGCTATGGAAATCTGAAGTTTCATTTGATAATGTGCTGACGCTCTCTCAATGTTAAATATTATGAAATGAATTGAATGGCAAGACATAACATTATGAAAATTTCAAGAGTTATTAGAAAAAATTTAATTTCTTATATAAAAGAGTAATGGGTGACCAGAAGTTCACCAAAAGAACTTATATATTATTGTCAACTATTAGGTGACCAGAAGCTCACCAAATACACTATTTAAGTTTTTAAAGATCCAGAAGATCACCACCTAGTAGAATTACAAACAAGTGATTTATCATTTATGTATATAACAATTCTTTTGATTGGGGCTATTATATGTCAGCACATAAGAAATTGGAAAAGAAGGAAAAATGTAATGCACAACACATGTCTCCCCATAGACATTATTTTTCCAAAAAATATAATGAAAAGGGTAATAATAGATACACATGCAATGTAAAGTTCATGAAGAAATGATTCTTCATTGAAATTTTTCTCCAAAAGAGATATAACTTCTTTATTACAAATCTTTTGATAAATAAATTTTGATTGTGATCCTCCTAATGAAGTGAATTTTATTAGTGCAAATTTGTCTACTAAGTTGGTATAGAATTAAACGCCCCTATAAATGAGATATTTTACCAACTTAGGGGGAGAAGAACGAATTAGCAAAAGTTGGAAAAATTAAAAATTAAATAAATAATAACTATGATCCCTATAATGGTACTTTGAAAAGTTATATGTCAACTTTTGTCTATATATTTTGCACATTTATGATTTAATTTGTATTCAGTTATGACTCATGTTGCATAGCATTGAAGATACATTTTGGTCATATTAATAATGTGTATACATTGAGATAAATCTTGCCAATTATACTTGAATCACTACACCTGAAGTGTAGGTTGTATGATCGGTTCCAAAATAAATATATGTCTAATGGATATGATATACGACAAGATAGATAGTGCAGTTAACTCTAATAGTGTAATATATAGTATATAAATATCATGGTGTATAAATACCTGAAAAAGTGGTATAGATATCTGAATTTTTATTACAATAGATGACCTATGATATAAGAAAAATAATGATGGTACCAAATGAAAAATGTATTCAGATATCAATGTCAAAAATAGCATGCAAATTAAAATTGTACCATGAGAAATTACATGATGATACCGGTATATGGAATCAATAAATAATGCATATGCATGATAGAATGGACTAGTGAATAAGGGATCTGAATATATGTCCATTTTGATGTCGGAATTATGACAATGATCATAATTTTATCATGGACTAGAAGTCCAATGAAATATGGATTTTTAAGTCCACACTGTACAATGTCTTGCATTATTTCGAGTCTTATGTATGTTCATATACATGTATGTGATAGTCATAGGTTAATGGATTATTCATTGCATATGTAGGAAGTTGTTACATGCATTACTCATTGTATATTTTGTTCAATATCTAATCATGGTTTCTATATATCTCATATTGCATGCACTAATTTATATATAATTATTATGATATGTGTGAATGTTCGCCCAAAATATAATAAGGCGTATTTACAACATTTATATGAACTTCAAAGAGATATTTATATTTCAGTGGGCTCACAGTTGTGAATAAATTGTTGATGACATTGATTTAATATCATGTAAGAAAAGTTCCTGAAGAAATTATATGCAACGTATGTATTTATAGCCCTCAAAATTTAATATTCGGAATATTGTAATTATTATCAAACTCTTAGTCAATGTGACTACATCATTGATATCTCAACATGAATATTGAGCATATAAAAGTTAGTGAGAATTACTATTTATATCTGCAAGAGAACTATCATGTCAATTATGAAATGTCTAAAGAATATTAATGGAATACTTATGCTTGAGGATGTTTTCTTATGGTCCAGAAGAACCATGATCAATGTATATAATTACATGCGTTATATTATAATTCATATGAGATTGAAGAACGACATTAGTAATATCAAGTTTTGTCATCAAATTATTATTAATGAATGTTGATCAAATAATAATCATCAATTTCTATTATTCACGACTTCCAAAAGATGGTGTGACCGTATAAGTTTAACTTTTAAATCAACTATTAAACAAGATTTGAAATAATGATATTAGAGAAAAACACATGTATATATGATGAAATAAAGACACTTCACATGTTCACATGAAGACTTGAAGATTTGAAGATGTAATTTCAGTTTGGGAGGATCGAAGATCAACGAATGTTATTTTACCACATATGAGAAGATATTCAATTATATTGGATTCATTGGTGCGGGACTAGAAGATCTCAAGTTATGTTACTTATGTATTTATCAGGGGGAGAAAATACGCGCCGCACTCTTTTTCCCTTGACCATGGTTTTGTCCCACATTGGGTTTTCCTGGTAAGGTTTTTAATGAGGCAACATTTTGAGCGTATTACGAAGAATGTTGTACTCTTTATCCTTAATTAGGTTTTTATCCCATAGGGTTTTTCCTATTAAGGTTTTAACGAGGCACAATCTTCGATAATGGACATCCAAGGGGGAGTGTTATGAAAATATTGTGTGGATATCCATTATCCTTATATCATTCCGGAATATTCTAAATCTAGGGTTTATTGTTATCTAAGAAAACCCTAATTGTATTCTATATATATATACCCTTAATATATGGAATAATATACTTAGATTAATTCTCTCTCAATTATGTTTTCCTTTATTTTCACAACATATTATTATTATTATTATTATTATTATTATTATTATTATTATTATATATATATATATATTTTTTGTATTATGTTGCTGTACAATTACTGTTTTTGCTATCTTAAACACACATTACGACTTAATTCAATGGTTAAGTTCCTATCAATTAAATGAGATCAAGAGTTCGAATCTTATACAAATCATGTTTTTAAGTTTTATAATGTGTAATAACATGGAATAATATAATAGCCAAAAAGAAAGCGGGGAGAGTGACATGTGGGCTTGATTCGACACACCTTTTAATATATAATAATAATAATAATAATAATAATAATAATAATAATAATAATAATAATAATAATAATAATAATAATAATAATAATAATAATAATAATAATAACTAGTGTGTGACCCGAGCGATGCTCCGGGTTATTTTTTTTAATACCTGTAATTGAATAGATAAGTTCATTCTTTATTATTTATTTATTCATTATTTGTTTTAAATTTATAATAGTTTCTCATTAAACCTTTGAATAAATTATTTATGGAACAACATTGACTAATTATATAAACATAATCTTATAAAAAAATTATAATAGACATGTTCTTTGTATATAATTTATAATATAATGAAAGATAATTAAATAAATAAAATTTATAAAAATAGTTAATTTTTGTTGCTTTTATATATTATCTCGATGTATCATAATTAGCAAATAATAGGGTATGGTTAACCCTAAAGGGTAAGGTTGTATATATTATCTCGATGATCATAATTTTTGTTGCTTGAGGGAGCCCAGGTTTATCATTTTGATAAACTCATTTTGTTTATCAAATGGCAATTCTGTAATTATTTTGCTTTGTTTTTCGTGTAATAGCTTTAAAAAAATATTATTTTCGCTACATTGCCAGTTGGCAGTCACATACCCTTGTTAACGGCAACCAAACGTTTTTTTGTTGACTCTAGAAACCAAGAGTTACGTTTTTCAGTCGTGAGAAACAATGTTGGACAAACAACCACCCTTCCCACTTTTTTCAAACCAAGAGCATTGAAGTTGCTTGTGAACTCAACCACCATTCCTAATACCATGCATGTTTCCGACAGCAAAAACCCTAAGAGAAAATGGTGAAATTAAGGGTATGGTTAACCCTAAAGGGTAAGGTTGTATCATTCTCCTCATGGGCGGATCTAGGGGGGTTCAAGGGGGTTCATTGAACCCACAGATTTTTTGGAAAAAAAATATAAGTTTTTAATTTTTTTTTTTTTTAAAAAAAAAGGTTTAAAAGAAATTTTGGTGAGAATAATTATCACACGGGTAAGTTTGGCGCATTGGTAATTCTATGGAGAATAGAGCAGCGCGCTCCTTTAGTACCTTAGGTCTTGGGTTCGACTCCTACTGCCCCCCTTTTTTGTACTTTTTTTTTTTTTTAAAAAAAAAAACTCCTTACATTTAGATTTCAATAAGTCATATTTCAAAAATCAAACATCAGACATTTTTCCCCAAATTCCCAAACACCAAAACCCTAACTTTAAAAAACTCCTTACATAAAGATCCGCCCCTGCCGCCGCAGCACGCCGGCACCGCACACTGAGACACCGACGGTAGACCGGGCGACCGGTGAGGCGGCGACCACCTCACGGAGATACGGACGACTGGACTGTGGACGACTGGACGAGGGACGACTCACGGACGAGTTCAGATTTCGAGTTCTTCTCTTCTACAATTGTGACTTTGTGAGTCCTCTTAATCTCTTATTCCTCATTTCCTCTACTCCTATTAAATCTTAATCTTGGTTTGCTTCATTGCTTGTTTTATTTTTTAAATTGGTTTATGGTTTTGATATATTGTTGAATTCTTGAATTGTTGAGAAATTGAATTGTAGAAAGTTAGAAGTTAGAAACTTAAAATTATAAATTTTTACTTGTTCTGTTAATTGAAATTTTAATAATTAGAAGAAGTTTATATTGTCAAATTTGTGTTTATTGGGGACTTGTGATTTGTTTTTTGAAAGGGAAGTGCTCAGCGAGCACAATTAGAATTGATCAGCTGAAATCAACAGCAGCCAAGGCAGCAAGGCCTTGTTTATTGGGGACTTGTGATTTTAATTGATAATTAATTGTGTATTTTGTGTATTATTGTAGATTGTAGAGCTTTTGTTACCATGAGTTTAGAGTCTTTTTGAAAACGTGCCGGGAAGTCACAAAAGTCCTCTACTTGTTCTTCACCTAGTTCAAGGAATCCTCCAATAGAAGAAGATGTTGTAACTCCTATTGATGATGCGGATATTGAGTTTCCTAATGATGATGCGGATGTCGTGTCTCCTAATAATGATGCGGTTCCAGTGGCTGCTTCAATTCCAATCCCTGAAAACACAACTCAAAGTAATCCAAATGCTAGTGTTGAGTCTGTTGATACTCGCATTTATGATGTTCATCTTCTTCCACATGATCCTGGAAAAAGAATTTCAATTTTGGAATATCCTGCTACTGACAGAGATGCTGTGAGAAGAGGTTATATTACAATGAAACGTTGTGATCCACGCACTCATAATTTCTGCGTCGATTTAATGTTGCTTGGTTTGATAAATATGATTGGCTTGAATATAGTGTGGAGAAAGATGCGGCTTTTTGTTTTGTGTGCTACTTGTTCAAAGATAAAGTTGATTCTATGGCTGCTAATGATTGCTTTATAAAAGGGGGGTTTAGAGGATGGAATAAGATTGGTAGATTCAATATTCATGTGGGAGGTCTTGGTAGTTTGCATAATCAAGCTTATGAAAAATACAATTTTTTCATTAACCCAAAAACATCAGTTGCCGAATCTTTTTCCACTTACACCACAGAAGCTAAACTTCAATACAAATCTCGATTGACTTATTCATTAAAATGTATTAAGTTTCTTCTAAGTCAAGGCTTAGCTTGTCGTGGGCATGATGAAAGTGAAGACTCTTGGAATAGGGGTAATTTTCTTGCACTCTTAACATGGCTTTCAGAGAATAATAGTGATGTTGCAAAGGTTGTTCTAAGTAATGCCCCGGGAAATAATCAAATGACTTCTCCTTTAATTCAAAAGGACCTCATTAATTGTTGTGCCAAAGAAACCACTAGACTTCTCATTGATGATATTGGGGATGACTACTTTGGAATACTAGCAGATGAATCTAGTGATGTATCTCAAAAGGAACAATTGGCCCTTTGTTTGCGTTATATGAATAATAAAGGGAAGATAACTGAGAGGTTTCTTGGAATTGTACATGTTAAGGATACCACTGCTTTGTCACTAAAGAGTGCAATTGAGTCTTTGCTTATGGAGTATTCATTGAGTTTGTCTAGAGTTCGTGGACAAGGTTACGATGGTGCTAGTAATATGAGGGGTGAGATAAACGGTTTGAAGACTTTGATCATGAATGAAACAAAACAAGCTTATTATATTCATTATTTTGCTCACCAACTTCAATTAACCCTTGTTGCTGTTGCTAAGGATAATGATGATTGTATTTGGTTGTTTGACCAACTTGCTATTTTATTGAATATTATTGGTGTTTCTTGTAAGAGAAGGGAAATGATAAGAGAAATACAATCTCAACATGTTCTAGAAGCATTAGATCTGAGGGAAATTGAAAGTGGGCAAGGTTTAAACCAAGAACTTGGTTTAGGTAGGCCTGGTGATACTAGGTGGGGGTCACACTACAAAACAGTTTCAAATGTTACCTCATTATATGCTACTATTGTCAAAGTTCTCGAGAAGGTTGGATCAAATAATCTTTATAAGGATGATCGTGTAAAGGCTATCACTGTTATGTCTACATTTGAATCCTTTGAGTTTGTTTTCATGATACATTTGATGTCTGAAATATTTGGGCAAACTGATAAATTGTGTCAAGCTTTGCAAAGAGGAGACCAAGATATTGTTAATGCCATGTCATTTGTTACGTTGACTAAGGAACAATTGCAACAAATGAGGGACCATGGGTGGGAAGAATTTTTGCATCTTGTGATTTCTTTTTGTGCTAAACATAATGTGGAAGCTCCTAATATGGATGATATGTATGTTCCTCGTGGAAGATCAAAACACTTCTTTGCCAAAGTGACAAATCTTCATCGTTTTCCGGTAGAAATGTATTTAAGTGTCATTGATTTACAACTCCAAGAGCTCAATAATAGATTTGATGAGAAAAATATGGAGTTGCTTATTTGTATGTCATGCTTAAATCCGGTAAATTCATTTGCGGCATTTGATAAGAAAAAGTTGATGAGACTTGCCGAGTTATATCCCGAAGAGTTTCCAACTAATGACATGACAATGACTGCTCTTCGTCATGAACTTGGTTTCTATATTAATGACATGCGTACAGATGCAAGGTTTGGAGACTTGAAGGGTATTAATGAGCTTTCTATGATGCTTGTTGAAACAAATAAGCATACTTCTTACAAATTAGTTTACTTGTTGATAAGACTAGCATTGATCCTTCCGGTGGCGACTGCAAGCGTGGAACGAGTGTTTTCATCAATGACTTATGTAAAAAATAAGTTGCGGAATAGTATGGGTGATCAACTATTGAATGATAGTTTAGTTACTTATCTTGAGAGAGACTTATTTGCAAGAGTTAGTGATGATGATGTATTAGCACGCTTTCAAAGTATGAAAACTCGAAAAATGCTTTTGTAGTTTTTTTTTTTTTTAGTGTGTAATCCATCCATTTGTAATAAAAATTTGAATTTATGTATTGAATTTTTAATCAATATATGATCATCGTTTTTTTTTTAAGATTTCGAACCCACGGTTCGGAATTTCTGGATACGCCACTATTTCTCCTCCATTAAAGATGCTTGAGAGTATGTGTATACTTTCTTCTCCATTAAAGTTGAGGAAGTTGAAAGCCGACTTCATTCGTGAATATAAATTTAAACTGTAAATGAGCTTACCATTCTTAGATTTTGCCAAAGCTTCTATCAAGTAAACAAAGAACAATTGTTGTTATGGTAGACTAATTGCCCAGCTCCAGTGTTCGATTGCTATGGTGGAACAAGAATATAATGCTTGATATGGCAATTGAAAGGCACTCATGGAGATATGGCTGCTATGGGTAAAATAAAAGGAGGAGAGAGAAAATGTTAATTACGAAGTATTTGCCATGGTTAAACAAGAGTAAAGCCTTCTAACGTCGCCATGTTATAACGTCAACGAAAATGTCACTAATGTCTATAACTTTTCAAATGAAAGTACAATTAAGCCCCTTGTCATCATACTTATAAACTTGAATTTTCTTTTTTTTTTTTAACTAGTTGAGCCATCGCGCGCCACGCGATAGCCCAATAAACACATATTATTTGTGAGTAATGATATTGTTAAATAGATGGGTTGTACTGATTTAATTTAGTTTGTGTGGAGTAGGAATTCGTCCAATCGGGTTCTAAAATGTAGGAAGTAATAGTGTACTGATTGGATATCGTTTTTGGTTCCGAGTACCCATGCTTGTATATACTTTTTAAAATCCAGCGAAAATTATAATTGTTATTCTAGTTTGGTTCTTTTTAAGCGTTTAATTCGCAAAATTATAATTTGGGTAAGGTAGATTATGGTTTCGATATTAAAATGCTAAGAAATTTGTGTTATTTTAATTAAATCGATTAAATATTAGCAATGGTAATCGTTTTGTTACTTATCCAAAATTTCTGCGTTTTTTAAAATTTATTAGCACAAATTTTATATTGAAAATATGACTAACACACGTGTGTGCCGATATTGTGTATGTAAGGAATGTTACGAATTACTATTTTTAGAATTGTAACTGTATGTACAGTTATAGAATATATATAAGATATAATCATCTAAAGAAGTCGAAAAGTTGTACTTGATATAAAAATTATGTAAAGAAGCTGAAAAGTTGTACTTTGTAAGTCATAAGTTCTTTTTATTGTTTCTAGATTTTGTCATGATTGTTGGACTTCCTCTCGTTGGTCAGTTGAAATCTTCTTTTGCGTGGTGTATAAATTGTGCCCTGCTCTGCTGTCTTGTCTTTCATTTTCTTGTCTTCCCTTTCTTTTTTTTTTGTTTCATCTTTCCTTTTTCTCTGTGTTTTTTTGCTTTCATCTTACCAACAACAATGGCTAGCACTGATAGCACGACTACTTCTGGGAAAGTATTTGCACCTCCAATCTGGAGGCCAAATCAGGCTAGGTCACAGGAGCAGAATGTTGCAAGTTTCCGAGTCTATGTTATGAGTATGACAATGAAGATGAACAGTCATCTGGAATTGCTAGAACAAGGAATGTCAAAAGCGGAGAGTAATAAAGAAAAAGGAGAACCGAGCAACAAGCGGAAGCGAGGAATTGAGAGGGATGGCTGTGGAGAATGGCCTATCATCATTGTTGATTCAGACAGTGATGAAAATAAAAAGAAAAGTAAGAAAGGTGGTGAGGCAAAAGATCATGGAGTGGAAAGTAAGGGAAAAGTTGAGACCAAGGAAGATGTGGAGAAGGAAGCAGGAGAGTCAGAAGAGGGAGGTGAAGAATCTGAAGAAGATGAAGATGAATCTGAAGAAGATAAGGAGACTGATAAAGATGGCGAAAGTGATGTGGATTCTGATTCTGAGACTGAGAGGATGGAAAAAGTGGTTGCAGACCCAGAGGATGTGGCAACTGAATCTAAGAGCAATGATGATGGTGATAGTGGTTCGGCCTCTGATTCTGGGAACGGTGTGGAAGGAAATCACGAAACAACTGAAGACTCTTCTATGTTTCGTATGAAAATTTCTGATTAAAAGCTTAATGTGAAAGATTGAGTGTAGGAGCTGGGTTTTGCTTATTTTGGGAAGGTTGTTTATGGGTAAACTTTTGAAATGTTAGGATGACTTTAGAGTTTTATTGTTTTTGTTTTGGTACATTAGTCTATGATTTGAAAGTCTGTACCGATGAAGGTTTTGTGAATATAATTATGAAGAAAGAAGTAGGGTGTAATGATGCTTATTATAAGAATAGTGATTTTGGATGAGAAATGGATCTTATTTCTATCTTTTTTCTTGCATTGTTTATTATGCTTGATAATGGTTTGTATTTTTTTGTTGGTAGTATAATTTTGATAGTAGGCTGTATTTGTTTTTGAGTAAAACCTTTATTTTAATGTTTTTTGGGGTTGTGGAAGTTCGTGTTGAATGGTTTCATGTAAACTTTGTGCTTAATTTGGAATGAACTGATCTGCATTGTATATGTAGCCTAAACAAATTTTTGGGACTATTTTTTATATCAGCAAAGGAAAGATTTAAAAGTTATATAAGGGTCTAAGTAGGAGGTCATGATTATTTTTGTGGATATCTTTTTATTTTAACAAAATGAGTAAGTGATTCATGAGATCAATGGCTATTCTGAACTTTTTTAAGAATGTGTAATGCTATAAGCTATGCAACTATGCCGATTTAGGGAAGCTGATATAATTGTGCTCAAGAGGTATAAATTATTAGGTTTGCTTTTAAAGTGTTGCACGATAAGCTATATATAAGCATTTGCACTACTAAACCATAATAATCACTTATATTCATAATAATAAATCTTTTGTTTCTATGTGTAAGTATTTAGGAAAATAGGATCTTGTAATTATTAAAATATGACATTATCTATGGTTTATGAATCTTCTATCTATGTAATTTGTCATCAAGGGTTATAGTTATATTTTATACTTTGTTTTAAATTGTTGTGTGTCATTTATAATGCCTAAGTTTTGTTTCAAAAAGTTTTTGGCTTATGTTGCTACTTATCAATCAATGTTGGGTCGAAGATTTGGATAAATGCGGTAAAGAATAATAGCCTATAAGTTATATGATTGCCAAAGTAAGATAAAGAAGATAGATGGAAATATCTAACCATAATAACACATCACATTATCCTGATATCATAAGTAGAGAGCCACTGGTTACAATAACAGGAACACAAAGCCTAATTCTTCTAATATTCTAGATACACAGTACTAAGCAAGTAGATAGCAAAAGATTATGTTAAGATGCAATCTTATATGAGAACAAGTGCTATAGTAGACTTGTTCTTATATAAGTTCATTATGTCGATTGGTTCTGTGACCTATCTAACCAATCAGACAACAAAAGCTAGCTTGATTATATCGCGTGTCAAAGCTGACACTTTAGCATTTGATGTTGTATAGGAACAAGTATTTTTACAAGGATTGTTTCTTTCCAAGACCATAGGCTTCAAAAGCTTTAACCATAACCGATATTGTTTTTATATATGTGGTATTATTCAAAGACAAGCAGGCTGATCATACTTGTCTTTTATAATAGCCTCATGATACATAATACTTACGCATACCCTTAGTAAGTATGTACATAGAAAAAGATTCAAATAGTGAAGCTGTTACCCAACCGATCTGTCCGGACTGATTTTTTTCTTAAAGGTCATCAGAGGTGTCATCCTCAAACACAAGGGCTCGTCATTTGCTGTCCTTTTCCTGCTTTACAGTGACCCTTGCTTCAGCTGAAATGGTATCTGTGTCGCAGGCAACACCTTTACCCTTAAGTGCTGCACGATAGGATGGAGTGCTTTCTTTCTCTTTCATGATGCTTGCAGGCTTGATTGTTGAATCCACTTGATGTTCAAGGACATCTTTTTCTGGTGTAGCAGTTTCAGATTCATCACCAGAATCGAGTCTTATCCTTTTGGATCCAGAATCTTCTGTGGTTGACTGAGTTGCTTTCTGCGCTGCAACCATTGATTCTACCAGTAAGCAAGCATCTTCTTCTTCTTGGCTGAAGATTGATAAGTCATAAGCTTCAACTGTTTCTTTTTTTATGGTTTTGCTAATGTTTTGCCCATGTTTGGCTGCACATGTAGAGTCCTCCTTAGTTTCACCTCCTTTTGTATCGTCTTTTGTTCCTGTTCTTTTAGAACCAGTCCCTGTAGTAACAGGTACAAAAGTAGTCCCTGCATCATCAGTTGTGATAGTGTCTTCCATCTCCACACCTTTTATGCCCCATTGCAGCACTTTGTTCTACTCTAGAGCAATTGTAGGCCCAATCTTAAGCAAGAAGTATGTATTGCGTAGCCTGTTAGCTAATTGGCTGAACTTGGTAGTATCATCCTAAAACACGGATAGATTTAAAGTGAAAATGAAAGCTAATTATGTAAAACTTGGATTAATAATGTCTAACCAATTTTGCTAATCTCAAATGGTAGCTTGTTTGGGTAGTTAAAATACAGGAATGTGGCATTGTAGCAGCATATATGTTGTGTGAAATTCAGAAGTAATAATACAGACAAACAACTATTGATATGTAGTCAGAGCTGTGAACTATTTACCAGTGCCTTCATATGGTAGATATCTGCAGCTGACATGCCAAGCAGTGGGATTGAGTTTTCAGTGAATGTAGTAAGCTGCAGTGCTCCTGTTCCATCTGAAGCAGTAAAAGTTATAGTAGCTCTGCAAATTTTGAAGAATTTGTGTTAGTTTAAGTTCTTAGGATATATCATTATTCTTATTCAGGGTAATCTGCTGGTAGTTTGTACCTGTATGTAGCAGATACTTCATTTCTCTCACAAGCCACATATCCATAAACTGCTCCAAGTGGTAGCTGTGTTCGCTTTCCCCAGTAAGAACACCCTATGTATGTTCTAAGTCTATCATATTGAATATCTGATGCTGTAACTCTGAGCCAATAAATC